TGTAAATTCCCTATCACATACAGCCTCTCTCCTTCCTTAAAAGGTTGTCAAAATATTTGGCTTATCAGCCAGCCTCAAAGCCTATCTTTCAATTAACAGCTGAGGCACTGATGGGGCAGCTGCCTAGGTCAGATCGCGGCGGCTGATTAGATTAGAAGCATTATTAAAAGCCAGTCACATTATTAAAAGCCAGTCACTAGTCAAGTCTCCTGGGCTGGTCCCCGGTGGCATGAACTTGTAAAGGGAGTTATTAGAATTACCTTGAAAACGCCTCGTCAAGACCATCATCCATTTCCTTTGTTAAAGAGATAAAAAGAGAGAGAAGTAGTTGCTAAGAGAATGCACAAAAGTGTATTTAGAGATCCGGCTCTGCACTTGAGCTCGGCAGGCAAAAGAAATATATATATATATTGACTTCCGAGTGCCTAAAGCAACACTCCTCTCGGCACTCTGCCTCCTTGGCAGGTTTTATCTCACTCTCTGCACGAGCCCCAGGGTAGGAGGTGTAACTCCGGGTGGTCCAGGCTTCCTCAGAGCAGATCCCAGGGCTCGGGTCGGGGATGCCGCGCTCCCGTCGCAGCCCAGGGATGGGGCAGGGGCTCGGCCCTTTCCCACCATCTCCAAACCAGGCTAATTCTGCCCCACTGCCTGCAGGGGCTGGATTTGGCCCTTAGCTGGACCACATCCCCCTCTGGGGTTAACCACAGCCCTCGGCTTTTCCAGCTCCTGCCAGGAGACTGGCACACGCTGCGGGTTCCTGCGAAGAGGGGAGACCCGGACAGAGCTCGGAAAGATGCTCCAGGCAACCCTCAGGGCTTTTCTGGGATCAGGAACCCAGAGAGCAACTCTGCACCAGCACAGCGGGGACCTGCGCTGCTCGGAAGCAACTCTGGGATCCTTTATCTCTGGTCTGCTCTTAAGGTTTCCCCAGGGAAAGCATTCGAGTTGCTTGGGGGAGAAAGGTTTTCCATGCAGGAAGATGGGCTCTGTGCAAGGGCTTTGCTATGGACAGACTGGACTATTCCCAAAATCTTGTGATGTACTTACAGACTCAATGTAATATGTAAAGTATGAAAACTCTGCAAGAAGGGAGGGATCGGAGACCACCGATAAGCCTCCAGGATTTTATATGACTTAGAGCTGATCTTCAGGTTTAACCGGAAAAGCCTCAGGCTCAGACACGGCAGAGTCAAGAAACAGGCTCCAGGCAAAGGCCTTTACCATTCAGTTCTCCAAAATTTAGCAGACTGCGCATTTCCAGAGAGGGCACGTGGCGGGCACGAGGTCCCAGGTCAAGTGGGGCTTCAAAGATCAGCCCCAGCGCAGCTGGCGATGGAGCGCTGGGGCATGGGGGATGCTCCCCTCCGGATGCACACCAGACACACGGCCTGCGTCATTAGTTTTCTGTTACTGTCCCGGGAAACAATTAAGCCAGATGACTGAGGACATTTTAGAGAAGCCATCCGTGCTCACACAAGCCAGACAGAGCCACAAATAAGAATAAGGGAAAAATAAGAGTAATAACGAACATAAATATAACCTGGTTTTAGCGAACAGTAAACAAAAGCCATCAACATAATGATTTTTTCCCCTGAACAGAGCAGTTAGGTGGTCTCTCAATTAAGTGACAAACCACTGAGAAATGCTGCTCGAGAATAAGTAATATTCAATTACCTGACAGCAGCATTTCTCAGAGCGCCTTGCAATCTCATTCATTTATTTACAGAGCCTAAAAAGGGCAGTAGGTACTCAAACGCTAATCGATCATTTCGAGTAGGACACCGAAACCCAGCTTGCTCGGGCATCTCTGAAAGCCTGCCTGAGCGGCTCAGCCACCCCAGAGCTCCCGGGGGGTTTTATCCAAGAAAAAGCCCCAGGACGGGACCTGGAGCACACGAAACGGAGGCGGCATCGCTGCCTGCCCCCGGCTCAGCAGACGCCACAGTGCCCCAGGCACACACTTACCCACACCACGTTGTTATTTACAGAGGAGCTGGGCCCAAACGCGCTGTTATCTAAGTGCGGGGAGTTTGCGCTGCTGGTCAGGGGCGATTTGGCAGGGTCTTCTAAATCCAGCAGGTTTCCCGTGGCTGCTGCTGCCAACAGAGCGGAGAGGGAATGAGGCAGAGGAGGGGAAAACAGACGACACGAAACCAAGCCTTTCTGCAGTAATTGCTTCCCCTCAAGAGGCGAATCGAAGGGTTGCATCCAATTCCTTCAGGATGGCCCTGAATTTTAGGGCAGGAGCAGCATTCACCCCAGCGCAGGCCGTGGTTTCAGCCCGAATAATTTGCGATGCTCAGATCAGGCACCCAAGCCCCGCTCGACAGGGATGCAGGGGAGGAATGGCCGGCTCATCCCTCCAGCAGCCGTCGATGGAAGCTCCCGGGTACCCGCTTAGGTTCAGGGTGAGTCAGGATCAGCCCCGGGCAAAGCTAGGGCATCCCAACCCCAGGGCATCCCAACCCCAGGGCAGGAACAGATCCAGGACAATATCCTCAGCTCAGCCCACGACACTGATTCAGCATCTTACAAAGATGCATCATTATTTTATAGGACCGAGGGCAAATCCTGCGCCGGGTGAAGAGCAGTTTGTAGCTTGGGGGCTGCTGGTACCACCGCAGGCTGGGCTGTTTCAGGGAAGCCTCAGATCCTCCCCATCGCCCTGCAGCGAGGGCGATGCAGAAGCGTCCCAGCTGCGGAGCATCCCCCAGAGCCCATTCCTACACCCGCGGCATCCCCAAGCCGCACTTATCCCAATGTGCCACTGTTTGTGACAGATTCCTCCAGTCCTGGGCCTTCGCATGAAGAAATGAGACGTGCCAGCCTGGAAGGAAGCCCAGTTTAATGCTATTTTCCTCCACGCCAAATCCTCTTATCTCCATGGCCAGCATGGAAGAGAGATTAGCCTTTTGTCCCGCTTCTCCCTGGCTACGCGTCTTGCGTTTCAGAGGCAGCAGAGAACCCACAGCCAGACACTGAATTATGAGGGGGTTTACTATTTAATTGTTTTCTTTTCACGCACCTCTCCTTCCTTAGGGGAGCCGGAGGCAGAGCGGCCCCCGGATGCCCGATGGGATGGCGAGTGTTTCAGGTCTGAGACAAACCCGAAATCAAACTTGGGATGTGGGGGTCAACGCTAAGCTCATACAGACATTATGGCCAGTTTCCCTGGGGTGGAAGTAAGCAGTTTTGGGGTGGCAGCAGCTGTGTACGAGGGACTGCAGGAGATATTTAAGGGGGAGAGGGAAGGACTCGGCAGGCAGCCACCACGTCCCAAGCGCTCTGCTGAGGGCAACATCTCCGCTACGACAAAAGCGTTTGCTCCTCGCTGGTCTCCCAAGCCCTCCCAGGAGCCCGTCTTGTTCAGGGACAACCCCGCAGACCTCAGGCTGTTCCCATCCCCGAGCCCGGAGCAAAGCTCTGCTCTTGACTTACGTGTGTCAGGGTGAGCAGGGGCTTCCGAGCTGGGGCTGCTCGTCCCTTCTCCTTCCAAGATGGACCTTTCCCGCTTCTCCTTCTCTGCAAAACAAGGAGACCCCATCACTGCCTGCAGAGCGCTTCCCCGCAAGCTTTCAGGGAGGAGGGACGGGGGGGACAGCTAGGACGGGCCACCAGGTCTCCTCTGCCCATGGCAGCCCAGGCTCTGGGTGCATTTTATAATCTCATGGAAGGTGAAAGCAAAAATCCCGACAGCGGCAGGGCTCTGAGGTCCCACAGACAAGCACCAGGTCCTTCACACCCCGCCTGCAAGAAAGGAGCACAGCCAAAATTTGGCTGGATTTACAAGGCTGTCAAGAGAAACCTGGAAGATGCCTTAAATCACACCAGAGGTTGGCCCAACCTTAACAGCAGCCTGGAAATTTGGAGGGCAAGGGGAAAAGGCACCTGAAAGCTGGAAAAAACCGAAAGTCATCCCTTGAACTTTCCCGTGAAGAATGGGAACAGGGGAAAAAAAAACTTACCTTCCTTAGCTGCTTGCCAGAGCTCAAATGCAATTTTGAAGGCCTGGGCTACGGTGAGGGTGACTGCTTGTGCCTGGAAAGACAGCGGTGAGGCAGCACGTTAATCGACCGGTCCTCGCGTAGATTTAAATCATTTGGAGGTTTTGCTTTGCAGATTCACGTTAACCTGGATCCAACCAGTCCTCTGCTCCCTGCCTGGCTGGGGAGGGGTAATCAAATATTGATGGAAGCAGAGACTTGCTCCGCGTTGGACACGCAGCTCATCGTAGACACGTCTTTAGGTGTAATGGGAAGATGGAGGAAGCAGGGACATGGCTGTCACAGCCATCACGCTGACAGGTGGAGAAAGAAGAGCTGCTCCCGACTGCAGGGCACGCACAGCTCTCCCTGCACCCCACATCTAAGCGTGACCTAAACAAGTGCAAGTGCTGCACGGCCCCGGGCTCGCCCCTGCAGCTCCCTGAGGGATGTGGCTCCCCGCTCCAGGGCTGGGCTACGCTGCACCCTCCGCAGAGCATCACCCACCGGAACGACCAACATCTCAAAGGGAATCAGCGCCCGATCCGAGCCCCGGACCACGCCGCTGTCGGCCACACCAGCGCTGGGGAGGGACGCGCAGAGCTGCGGTCCATCCCTCAGCACCGTGCCCGACCGCACGCACAAGGATGCTCCGAGAGCGGCAGGGTAAAATGCCAGGAATTTGCAGCTCTCCTCAGCTGGGAGCAATCTTAGAGGCAGGACAAGAGAGATCCCAGGGTCTTCCCCTGGCTCCGCCGAGCTAAGCTGGGGTCTTGCTGGCTTCGACCAACAGCGTGGGTTTGTTTTGCAGCAGGCAGGGCTGCAGCAGGAGCAGGGTTCTGCAGGTTCCTTCCCTTCAGTCCCTCCATTCCTCCCCAAGCCAAGAGCTTGAGCAGCATTAAAACAAGAAACACCAACACCTTAAATAGCCCAAGTTGCTGGAGATGTATAAATAGCGACATAAATGCCAGTTTCATTAGGAGAAGGCAGAGCTCACGAGCAGTTTAAGTGCAAGGAGATAACGAGTAACGCTCTGCAAGGCTGGCACGCTGCAGGAGCCTTGAGGCACGGCTTTGTTTTACAAAGTTGCAAACTAACAAACCCAGATCCGGGTCCGTAACCCGCAGTCCCCGGTAGCTCGGAGGATGGAGACGTGGGGGGAGCGCAGACGTCCCCCAAAAGCCAGGCGCTCCTGCGCAGGAGGGGCGAGGAGACCCAGCAAACCTATCGATGCCAATTAAGCCTCGCAAAGCAGGAAAGCTCATTTGAATGTCGGAGCTATTTACATCTTTGATGGAAGTGCAAACGCTTTATGGCAAAAACTTAAATATGGTAATTAAGTATGAAACTCCTCACAGCTGTTTACAATTTAAGCTGTCACATCTGAATCAAGTTTAATAGACCCAGCTACCACTGAGAATTACCCATGAACTAAAAATACGGACTAATTATATGCCCGTGACTGGTAGCTGTGCGTGCACTCAGGGACCCTGCCCTGGGGCAGGGACAGTCCCTGGTCTGGGAGCAGGGCATCACTCTACCAGCGTGATGTCCATGAGTTTTAAAGACAAGGGGGAAAAAAAAAAAAATATTTCTAGGTTTTGCCACAAAAGGCCTTGGAGAACTTTATTTGGAGCTGATGTACCACTGAGATAATTCTTTTAGCACTGGAGAGATTTAAATTTTAATTTGCAGAGCAAGGCTTATCTTCACCATGCAAGGATGGGAGCGCATGCTGCAGAAAGGAGACAACTTGTAGCTTCCATTATTCTCTCCCCGGAAAAAAAACCAAAAAACCAAACCATGAGTCGGGAGAAGTGCAGAATATTAACAGAGCTGTGGTGGCCACACTCCAGGCACAGGGATGCTCGTAAGGACCCTGGAATCCCCACGCCAGGATACACTGCGTGGGAACACCTCTCGGGAGGTTTGTTTCCCTGCGGATTCGGGAGATCCCGTTATCCGCTTGGGCCCCGCAACAGGCACCAGGGGAAGGGATTCCGGGGGCAGAGGGATCTGACCTGCCCTTCCTCTCCCCTAAAGCCCCTTCCTGCCACAGGGAGGGGGCTCAGCCCCAGCTCTGGCTCCGCCGGAGACCCCCAGGCTCTGCTTGCCCCACCTGCAGCCGGCGCTCAGCGACCCGCTCCTCGCCCTCGCCAGCTCATCAGTGCTGGGTC